CGATTTCCATAAAAACTTTTCAAGCATACAATTAGTTTTCACAATTTACAGAAATCACTTTCTTTTTTCGTTGATTTTTGATACTAAAAGAATCCAAAAAAATGGAGCGAATTACTTATGGATTACACCATCTTCCTTGGAATTTATTAAACTAAATGCTTATGATAATGCTATAATTATAATACTAACTAAGATTATAAATTTCTATTAATAATATGATATTAAATAAATATATCATAATATTAAATAAATATATAATATTATAATCATAACACTTATATTTTAAAAAACAAAATTTTAAAAACCTATGGCGATAACCATGTCCTTCGGGAGTATGGGAGTATTGTATTTTAATTTCCCGTAAAAGGTGAAATTCGTTACTTTTGTTCATGAATTACGACTTCATGGGTTAGATATCGTCCATCTGCCCTTTAAAGAACGGGTGGGCACGTCGCGTCCCAGCCACGCAACCGCGCCTACCTGACCGCAAAATTCCGGCGATAATGGTAGGCCCAAGCTGTAAATCATCAATTGGTCTCAATCGGTAACAGCTTGGAAGGAAAGCCGATTACTAGATTATCCAAATGGGCCTTCAGTGGGCCGTTTGTACCTTTTTCCTTTTAATAGCCTTATTAGGTGCACCATTTGGTTTATGGCTACAACAAAAGGTTACCTCACAGAAAATTAAGTTCTGAGAAATAGTGAGGTATGCTGGTATCCCAAATAATTTGCCCAAAACAATAAATTACTCTAAATAAGTGTGGTGTTAATAGGTGAAATCAATAGTAAAAATTTTGAAATCAAAACTTTAAAAGATTAGTTAATAGGTTAAATCAATAGTTCAAATTTTGGGATCAATACTTTAACGGATTAATTTTTTAAAATGAATTAAACCAATATAAAATATGTTTTTGAAATTTTAATGAAAGATTTGTCTCTTAATTCGATAAAAACTAATTTGAAAATAGCTTGATTATAATATTTTTTTTTTAAAAAAATTACTCTAAACAATACCTTACTCTAAATTAAGTTCAAAGATGCAAATTTCTAGTCTATGGCAATTTCATCCAATTATAGAAGAGCCATACAAGGAAACAGGATTGTAGGAAATGAATCTTCTTCTTCTAACCTTGCTCGTATTATGACAGTTCCAGAGATGACAACAAAAGATGCTCAGCCATGATGTCCAATGGGAAGATGGAACCTGAAAACTCATATGTTTATAAACTTTAAAAAAATATTATAGAAAGCGGGATTTGTGCGGTAATTAATTAAAAATAACGAATTCAACTTTCATTGATCAGCCAATTCTCCATTTATTTTAAGACTCAAAATGAGCATATATATCAGTTTGAAAAATGGTTCCACTGCACCAAGATTTTGAGTTCCTAATACTCTTCTCCCATCCCGTACCAGACCTGATCATCCACAAATCTCCAAGACTTCGAGTTCCAAATTCTTTTTCCATCCAAGCAAATTCCTTATCATCCAGTGGCAGCTGACTAAAGTCAAATTTCTTCCCTCTGCCTTTTCTGCTGGGGCCTGCTGCAGTGGTTTCGGCTACTCTGCTGGCTCTCACTTGATCTCCAACCTAGGCTCAATTCCGTATTGAAATTATCATCACATTTTTCCAAGGTCTGCTCCTCCTTCTGTTGCTGTAATGGACTCACCACCAATGCCTCTGAATCAATTTTCAGTTCTTTGGCATCGTACTCATCCAACGGCTCTTCTGGCTGCCGCTGCTGAAACCAACAATCTTTCTCCACCATGGGTTCTTGATGAACTCCTCCAACTACAACTTCTGACCATTCAAATCCAGTATTATTGATCATCTCCCTTGTTTCTTGAATTTCCTCGTTATACAATGTGGGGGCATACTGTTCTTGAACTCTTTTGGCGGCTACACCAATCTTTTGTAGCTTTGAAGACGTCGATAGCTGCGAATCTGGTCCTAAGCAGAACGGCAGCAGTTGCAGATCAGGTCCCCGCCACTGCGGTGGTGCCGGCTGAAGATTCGAAGTTGATGCGGCAGGCCGCGTGAACAGGGGAGCCTTACCGTTCTACCGAATCCTACAAAGAACCCATTCTTTAACCCTCTTTTGATGGTAGACGTACTCATGCATGATCCAATCCTTCTTTGTTCCTTCTCGTTTCCGATTCCGATTCCCCTTCCCCTCTTTCATTTTTGCTTAAGAAAACTTATTTTGCTCTTATTAATATTTTTAACCTTTTAATATATTTTAATATATTTTATTTATTCTTACTAAGTTATTCAACTTTCCTGAACAAGGTAATATTTTATTTTAAAAAATGTTTTACTATTTAACTTATATTAAATTAAAAAATATTAATTATTAATTTAAAATTTTAAAAGAGAAACCCTTTGATATGAGGTAAGAATCATCAATTTAATAATTTAATATAATTTAAATTACAAAGTATACAATTCTTATTTTTTAAGGATAGGTTGGATTGCTATTTTCTTATCAGAGAAAAAATGGACGCCCTGTATAAAAATTGGTTTAATTACGTGTTCGATTTCCATAAAAACTTTTCAAGCATACAATTAGTTTTCACAATTTACAGAAATCACTTTCTTTTTTCGTTGATTTTTGATACTAAAAGAATCCTAAAAAATGGAGCGAATTAATTATGGATTACAACATTTTCCTTGGAATTTATTAAACTAAATGCTTATAATAGTGCCATGATTATAACACTACATAAGATTATAAATTTATATTAATAACATGATATTAAATAAATATATCATAATATTAAATAAATATATATAATATTATAAATAAATTTTTAATTAAAAAATTAATTATAAAATATTACATAATATTATAACTTACATTTATGAGTCCAACGCAAACAGTTGAGCTGGAGCAAAACCAACAAACAGTGATTACTGGGCCCAATGTGAATACCCATAAATTGTTACACCATTTTCCTCGGAATTTAACATTAGACTACATACTAGATAGACAGATAGCACAGCCCAACTCCAACAAACAGAAAAAAGAGGCTTCCACAGAGATGGGGCGAGCCTGATGGGGTTGTGGGCGCAGCTGCCAAGTCCGAAACAAAACTCTCCATTGAAGTAACAATTGGGTTTTGGGGGCTCTCACGAGGCACCACCTCCACACGTAGCCTTAGCCCATTCTTGCAACTCTCGGGCTTCCTACTACTGAAGTAGCGGATTCCTTCTCCATCAAGCGAGACGCCATTGATACCGTCCGTGTACATCCTGATAGGGTTGCTCACATTACACGACTCGTATTCTTCCTTGCTCTTCAACTCAGCAACACTCTCTTGAGCTACAGAGTAGCTGAACCCTGTCCATACAAAACAATACATAACTCCATAAAAGATTTTATATTTCTCCCGTTTTCTCTTTGTGGTTACGATTCATATCTACCAAGACATCTAATTTATGCGGATAAATACCAACAAAAGCTGAGTCCGGGTCGCAACTACTAAAAAATCTTGATTTAGAGTTAAAAGATTGAGAGGTTCTAACCTCTGTTAATACCAAGTTATAGAGACAAATTAATGGAAGGGATCACAAGAGTAGTCAAGAAATATTTTTTAAGATTCATGAGATTTTTTGGTTAAAGTGCAGTTGGCAAGACACTTTCAATATATTTTTTTTCCTTCAGTTTTCCTGGGAACCAAACACTAGATCCATATATTCTCTTCTTTGGCTGCCGTTTTGATATCTCCCCTAAAAAGAACAGCAAAAAGGGAAAACAATAGCCTCTAAAAAATT